GGCAAACAAGGAAAGCCTGCATCCCCCAGTACATAGCGGCCAATTCTTGTCCCGTCAGTGAGCGTGTGTGCACCAACACTGAACACTCCTACACCGTTTTGAGCGTCGGAGTACAAAGGAGATAGCCGCAACACCCGAGAGTCATGGTTGGACCCTTGGCACCCGATGTACACATCCAAAATTCTGCACTCGTGGCCGCAGACCACTTGCGCAATGATCGAAAATTGTCCCGTCCTGTCGTAGTAGCATTCGTCACGCTCCTTCCTCGGCTTTTTAATGTACAGGTGAGTGCAGATACACTGCAATCTATCGCACCCACACAACCTGGAAAACCCTTCCGTTCAAATGCATCCAGTGTCTCCTGGAGACGGCGACCCCGCAGGAAGGAGATGACATGACCGTATTCCCTGATGATTGTGTCGGCCACCTCTTCGTTGCTTCGCAGTACACTGGCGAGTCCCATGCCCAACCCATGAGCAAACTGTCTGTAGAAACTGCCAGTGGCCCATCTGATCAGCGCGCATGCAAATTTCTGTTCCGCAGGCAGTGGCTGCCTCCAATTCGTCGTTGCCCGCTGAATATGAGGTGCTATTCGGCGCAAGACGTCCTCGAACACTGGACAAGGGAGCCTACAAAACCTTTTGAAGACCTTGTCGTGTCTCCTACCCACACGTTGGGGATCCTTCCACACACCACTGCTGCGATCAAGTACCCAAATCCTTCCACTACTCTCGCCTCTCTCGTGAATGGCACTCAAAGCCGCATGGAGGAGATGAAGGTTGTGACCAACACCATACGTCAACAGTGCCAAAACAACCGGCATTCGAGGATCCCACATAGGCAATGACGATGCAGCCTCGATAACGGTCATAGCCGCCTTGTTCCTTTGTTTCATCCACTCGATGATGACGAAAACCAACATGAACAACATGTCGTCCCACTCCGCACTCGCATCCGAGCATGCACCGCTGCCAGGTCCGCTGTCGAGTTCCATTGTTTCGTGCGTGCCAGGAATGTCCCCATCTCCATCGCCGAAACCTGCTTCCATGGCCACACGATCAACCACTTTCAAGCGGTGAACGTAAATGGCGACGACGCGTCCCACAACACGATTGGCGATGGCGTTGCAACGGCGGAGGGAGAGCCAACGGTCAGTGGTCCCCGACCCAAAGCCAAACGGTTAACGAGACACTCCAGCGACCGTGAGGTTCCACGAGAGTCACGTCCTGTCGCTGGGACCCGTTCTTCTGTCGCCCACACCTCCTATTCCCGTCACACCATGTTGTGCTTGTGTCGTGCATGGACATCCGGTGTACCCAAAACCGAACCCGTTCAATGACGGCAGCCACCGTAAACTTCCCATTTTGGGAAAGGCCGATTGCGATTTCCTATTTGGGCAAGCAGGTCGTTTGCGGACGCTAAAATTCCGTGGTGCGGTGGGGTCTCGTGTTCCTGGAAACCTCTGTGCGCGGTGGACGAACCCCGTCCTGCGCGGACAAATTGTCTGCCTTTCCGCGAGCCTGTGGGGTCCAGCCCCTATTCTCGGCGATCCCAAACCGACAATGACAAAAGCGAAAAATGAGCGACAAGATGAAAAACACAGCCGAGGGACAAGTCTGATTACGCACCACGAACCGCGTTTTTTTTTTTTTTTTTTAGAAGGTTTGTAAATTTATTACCAATGAACAAGAGGCTGGGAAAACCTCACAATCAACCTGGAGGAAAAACTGGGGCCATTGCCCAACTTACGCTTATGGTGGAAACTGAGTCCAGCGTCTCATACTTCTCTTCACCCGTCTTCTACCAAAAACTCATGAAGCACCGGCTGGTATTCCCAGCTCCTCAAGCAAAAGAAAAGGTAATCTATCACTGTTTCCAAGAACGTTCCAGGGAGCAATCCCTTACTTCGTTCCATGAGAGTCTATCTGCGACTCCCCGTCCCTATCTGAGACTTCGCCTATTCTCCTACACTGTGCTCCCTTGACATTCAATCCTTAGGCCCTAAGCCACGGGTCAATCTCCATCTTTAGTTCAGTGCTAACTGTAGATAACCGGTTACCAATCGCCCAGGTCGTCGAAAACCAGATCTTGCCTTTTTTCTGCCAGTTTGCCCACATTATGTTCCTTATCTCTACTTTAACCGTATTCTGCGTCTGCTCCAATGACCAATGCTCGTCCTTAAACAAGGCGTCATTCCTGGCCTGCCACAGTATCCTCATACAGACGCCTCTACAGATCTGGGCCACATATCCCCAACCTCTATCATACGGTTTCAGCATTTCTGCTACGCCAGTCAGAATCCACAAATCAATCCACTCAAAGGCCTGTTCTGGGGGTTGGGTTGTGATACTCCTCCAATGGCGTCTCCACCATTGCCATAATCTGATTGAAATGGGGCAGTGTATCCACAGATGTACTATAGACTCCCAGGCCTACCTACACCGTGAGGAAGTCTGAG